CTTTTAGAGTGGAGGATAATTTAGCTCAAACCACCCTAAATATCTGGATCAGAAATAAGGTGAGCACACATTTAGTTACCACAGGAGATAGGTGAGCACACATTAGGTTGTGCTGGGCTAGCAGCCTGTCTGCGATTTTCCAAGCTGCTTTATGTGGTGTTTTTTATCTATTTTGATTAACTGCTCCATTTGTTCCACAGCATGGGAGACCTTTAGGTGAAAACCTAAAGCAGAGCACTGAAGGAATTTTAGTAGTAGTTTCAGCTGGTTGCAATCTGCAATTCTCGCCACTAGATGTCAGTAAATCCCTCTAAATCTTACACACTGTTCCTTTAAAACAATTTTGGTATAACCCTATTGTTATTGCTCTGCCAATTTAACCTGCTTCCTCAGTGGCTTCCACATTAGTTCGGTGTGGTGTTGCCAGCATCACTACACAGAAGTGGAAATGTATTGAAAAGTGAACATGTAATGACAATGAGAAGCAGACTGACTGGATGTGGAAAAACTGATACTCAGGCTGTTCATCATCTGTTTCATAAAAGCATGAACATATTCCCCTCATATTCTTCTTTACACTACAAGGAAGAGAAAAATGTGGATGTGTTGTTATTTATAGGTTATTTTGCAATGGTTTTACTCTTCTGGCCCACTTGAGATCATATTGAGCTGTACATGGCCCATGAATTAAAATGAGTTTGACACCCTTGACATAGATGTATGGCTGTTATACCACTCTAATGGACCCACAAATAAAACACCATGACACGTGCTCAGCAAAAAATAACCAAGTAAATTGCTGACTGAAGGCAACAGGAACACCCAGGAAGCTTGAGACTCAGTTTATTTGTCAGGAAGCCAATTAATCCATCCCCACTCAGCTCTAGCAAAATGCTTGTGTGGCTCTCTATCTGCTGGATGTGTAATCAAGAAACTGGTTGCCAACACATACTTTATGAGAAATTAATGAGACTAGTGGTAATGCTTTTTGTTATTGACACTTTTAAGGCACACTTAAACACCCACACGTCCTCCTGTTATTGCATATGTGTTAATAATTGTGTCCAACTGCAGCAGCTGTAACTGCTAGCTAGTCTGATTTATCCAGTTAATTATAACAGGTGCAGGGACCACTTTACTTGCAAGGGCATTTCCAAGTTTTGTAATGGGTGATTTAGAGTGAATGGCAGGTTTCCACATGGCTTACGCTTGATCCCAGACAGTGATCACACTGAGGGGCAACGGACCTTGAAGACTGACTGACCTTGTTCTTTCTTCCCTGTGTGTGCTGCTGGCAGTACTGTAGAGACAAGCTGAGAAGCAATTTCTTAAAAGCATATGGACACATTTCCTAACTTCTGTTTACCCTACACCAAATTAGGAGTTGTAGAACATAATGTCTCTGGAAACCATGCATTGTAATTAACATTTGTTTAGTTGCAGGTAGGGATGGGTTACTGAACGGATACTGGGCACAGGCCAAGGGGCCAAATGTGTCAGGGAGTCCCTGGGCATGTGACTCAAATTAACATGTACCGACCAGGAAGAGACTCAAAATGACCACGAAGAGACACATAACAACTACAAAGAGACACAAAAGAATCACAAAGAGGTACATAAACCATAAAAAGATGCATATCAACTACAAAGACACACCAAACAACAACAGAAGGGGCAAAATCACCTCCAAGGCTGTGTCTTGCTCCAGTGTAGGAGAGGTGGTGGGGCCCTTGCATATCTGTGCCCAGGGACCCATTGTCTCATAATCCACCCATGAAAACAATTCTGTTTAGAGACATTTTCCCTCGTACTGGGAAGAAACAAAGTATCACCACTGAAAATCCATTACACGTTTACACAGAAATCACAAGGGGAAAGGGGGGAGAAACAGAATACTTTACAACAGTTGGTCCAACAGTGAATTAAAAGTTGATGCAGTGAAAACATTTCAGTTTTCGGGAGTACGGTTTGATGGCAGAATGTGAAGTGGCAGCATGAGAAAAGGGATCAATATTAAGAGGGGTCATCTTGAACTAAACCAAAATCTCCTCTCCTGATAGACAGATTAAAGCAAAATCCCCAGACAAAAGATTAATAACATAGATTAAAATGTCCTACAAGATGTCTTCTTGACCACTGTTAGAAAGTTCTGGGAGGATGATATAGGAGCAAGAGAAGTGTAATCAAAGTTTTAAAGCATAGTTGAGCTCTAAGTCCACCACTGTGCCTTTTAGGTTCTGTAAAAAGGTCTTTGGACAACTCACTGAAGGAAGTCAACCAAAAGAGTGTGAGGAAGGCATCTAATGATTTCTACTGATGGCACTTGGCACTCAAAGTGGGAAATTTGCATTTGAACTTAGACTTCCTTAGCAAATATTAGTATTTTCAGAAGGGCTCAGCTTACTGATATTGTATGGGCACTTGGAGGGCACTAAACCAAATGAATGAATGATGTGCAATGAACCTCAGCAGCCTCTATCACATTAAATGAAGGAAAACTGAGGAAAAAAACAAGTGTTAGTGACAAAATAGTAAATGAATAAAGTGGGCTTCATGTGGGAATGATGGAATAGATGAAAGAACTAAAAAGGCACCAGATTGCTACAGCCTCATAACTCTATGCAAATTCGGCAGAAGGGACGAGGGAATGAGGAAAATGTCAGGCCATGTCTGATGCAGTTATCTCTGAATAGGGCCTGGGATTTAGCAAAGATTTCAAGATCGAGATTAGGTTGTTGTACTGGCTCTGCTTCATAAACACCCAGACTGAAAGTGTGAGTGTGGGGAGCCTGAAGAGTGATTTTGATGGGAGAATAAACAAAATCATGGAGTGACAACATCACTGATAATAAACAAAATCTATATACTTCAAGTTTTCAAGTACAGGGAGTACCTGCAGTCTGTTTTAAACCATGCATCCAAAATGATTTGTTTTGTTTTTAATACTTCCTCATGTACACACCCACACAAACCTCCAACAGGGAATCAGGCTTACCAATAATCATTAAATCAAGGGAATAGTTTGGATCTTTTCAAGTAGGGTTGTATGAAGTACTTATTTATAATATACTGCTGCTGAGGGATCAGCAACAAAACATATTTCAACCACCTAAAGAAGTCACACCTAAAACCACTGATATCAATTTTAGTGGATGCTTTGTTTAGAATATATTCCATTACATGGTTTGCTTCAAAGCCCAACTCTGTTGAGAAAAACAGTAATTTTACATCACTCAACACAGGAGCTGCTGGTCTGCAGCTGCCTCAATCGGTTGTTTTGTTTGTGATGTTGACTGACTTTAGCATTTTAAAAGGTTTAATTCACCAAAGTCACACAGTAACACAAGTCATCTAAGTGACCGAGGCAGCGGTAGACCAGCTGTTCCTGTGTTCAGTGAGCCAAAATGACTGTTTTTGTGAATAGAGTCTGGTGGCTTTGATGAGAGCGTAGATGGGGAACAGCTTCTTCATGGACATGGGCTGTCTGATGGAAAAGTAAAGCAGTGGGAACGCTCTCAACATGTTGTACACTTACACAACTGTTACAGATTTTGAGATGGGACTTTTTTAGGTGGCTAAAATGTTTTGCTTCTGGCCTCGTCCACAGCAGTACAATGCTTTGCTTCTGTGTTGACACCACTCTCCACACTGGGAGCACACCGACATTCATCTACTGCATATAATACACTTACTATGGATAAGTACCCTGTACAACCCCACTTCATTCAATGCACAAAGGTACAAATTTTATATACTCAGATTCTTGTTCCCACAGTGCTCATTAACTTAAAAAGTGCAGTCCAGCAGTGTAGAGTTGGAAAAAAAATTAAATTGGAATTAAATTCTTAATTATTTCTTAATTATTTCTCTTTAAATTAAACTCTGGAGAGTCTGAATAGTTTTCATTCTTTGTTATTACAGCTGTACAGTATCTCATGCTCACAGGCTGCTGCTCATCTATTGGACATGATGCAATATTTCACTTTAAAAACCCTCTGACCATCTCCAGGGTGTGCAAACTATATTTAAGATAGATGATCTTAGCTTAAAATCGTTGCTGCAGTGCCAGTTTTCTTAGTTAGCTTTACAACAGATGCAAAAACTCCCCGGCATGTAATAATGTTCCCATGCAAGTGTAGAGCATTCACACACACACACACACACACACACACACACACACACACACACACACAATCTTGTTTACTCCACCTACAGCCAGTGAATCCCAGATTCTAATTTATCCAAACCCCAGAAAAGACTACACCACTAATTGTCCCACGGTGTACAAATAAATCACTAGGCCTATATGTAATGCACTGGCCTTTCACAAACACCTATTTATGAAGCACCAACCTTGTTATGGTCACATCCGGTTTTCATGAGGGAGACGTGTGAGGACTCCAAATGGGAGACAGTAAGGCCATCTAGTGGTTCAGAGTGGAAAACGACATATTTCAGGGCTGGTTCAAGCTCCAACCCTGGCAGCAATTTGCAAGGATACCGTGGATTCATTTGTAGTGACAGGAACACCTGTTGCTCATTGCCTGCTCAGCCCCAAACTGGCGATGGCTGCTGGCTGCTGAGATATGTTGAGACACGTCAAAGCAACACTGAGTGGCAAAAATAGACTTCAAAAATGTGTTTGGGCAGGAAGCAAATAAGCGTCTTCTTAATTTGCGCTTTCCTTTACACTTGTATTCTACAGTTACTTTAAATCCCATGGGACACTATGGTTGCTTTTTTTATCTTGGAAAACCGCACTCCTCATTTCTGTTTTCTTAAATTGCCGTGTTTGATAATAGGAGCTGATCGATGTGTGAGCACACAAATCCCCATCAGCCTCGCCCTGAGATAACAAAAAACACATGTTGACCAATAGTCTCCAGGGAAGAGCTTTTACGCACGCGCGCGCACACAACCCTCCGAGGGAGATCATATCAGCTACAGGCAATCAGTTTTCTAATCCGATTGACACCTACAGCGCGGTCGCAGCTCCGGTGAGAGCGTCACAGACTCCGAGAGAAGGGCTCTCCAGCCACTCGCCGAGGAGCGGCTTTATCGTCACTGACGGCACAGACAGAGCGCACTGGACTGCGCAGAGGATGGCACAAGATATATGCGCCGTAAAGAATTTTGCCACTTAATGAGGGATATCTGAAATAAATCTTTAAAAGTAAGGAGGCATTTTATTTGCAGGCTTCTGCAGATGCAGTTTACTCGGGAAGCAGACACTTGGTGATACTTTTAACTTGGATATACTTTGAATGTTACCGATGGATTTCTTAAACGATTCAAATTTTTCCCTCGGAGACACTAATTCAACAATAACAGGTAGGTTGGTGAGCAGCCGGCGTACCGGTAATATGATGCAGTTACAACAACATTGTTTCACACCCTTAGAAGCATCACAGTTTCATTCAGCGTTATTAAAACAACAAAAATCAAAAGGGTGTATGCTTTTCTATTTCATTTTTTTTCTTCTACATCTCCAAGTTACCTTATGTCTTAATTAAATTTAAAAAAAATCAAACCAGCTTTCATAGTCTATTGCACACATTCAGACTGCAGTGAATCTCTGTCACAGCCTGATGTGTTGGATGACAAATGTGAAAGATAACTACCATCATCTCATCAATTATAACTTGCTGAAAGGGTTAGTGATTTATACATTTTAGTATTAAATAATAATAATTTCTGTAACTTTTTTTGTTTAATATTCTTACACATTACATACCTGCATATTTTAAGGTCTACTCTTCTATTCGTCTTTATTCTAACATGTATAAATGATTACAGACCTCTGCTCCCATCGTCGTCTGTCTTTGCTTTGTGCTGTGTTGAAGGAGCCAACACGCACATATGCACACACACACACAAATCAATAATTTCTACACTGATATTAATCAGCAGCCTAAAAGCATGGTGAGAAAATGGTCAGTGTAGGTTCTGATAATAGATCTGCCTGCGTAATAATCCCCTTACAAACCAGTATTGTTAGTCAGGGGACACTGCTGCTCTCACCAATTGTTCCATGTATCATTGTGACATAACAACTATTATATGCAGTGTATACCAACATAATGTAAGATTTCTTATGCTTAAATACAGTGCACAATACAGCATGATAACTGAGTGTTTTTGCCATCTATTGAACTGCCCCTCCTTCCTCCTCTTGTCTCCAGCTGTAGATGGGGCCCTTCACTGCAGTGCTGTCCTCCCAGTCATCTTTGGCATCATCTGCTTTCTAGGTATCATAGGAAACTGTATTGTCATCTACACCATCATGAAGAAGACCAAGTGTCGCACAAAGCAAACTGTCCCAGACATCTTTATTTTAAATTTGTCAATTGTTGATCTCCTGATTCTCCTTGGGATGCCATTCCTCATCCACCAGCTGCTGGGCAACGGCTCCTGGCATTTTGGAGCTGCAATGTGTACGGTCATCACTGCGCTTGACTCCAATAGCCAGATTGTCAGTACTTACATTCTCACTGCAATGACCTTTGACCGTTACTTGGCTACTGTCCATCCCATACGCTTCAACTACATCCGCACACCGTGTGTGGCAACGCTGGTCATCGGCCTGGTGTGGTCGCTGTCTTTGCTCACCATCATCCCTGTGTGGATGTACGCAGGCCTGATGCCTCTGCCAGATGGCCTGGTGGCTTGTGCTCTCCTTCTGCCTGATCCAGTCACCAACACATACTGGTTTACACTTTACCAGTTCTTCTTGGCATTTGCTATACCTTTGGCCATCATCTGCCTTGTGTTCTTCAAGATCCTCCAGCACATGTCCACCAGCGTGGCACCACTGCCTCCACGGAGTTTGAGGGTGCGCACCAGGAAGGTGACCCGGATGGCAGTGGCCATCTGCTTGGCTTTCTTCATCTGTTGGGCCCCTTACTACATCCTTCAGCTGGTCCATCTAGGGGTGCAGGAGCCAAGCCTGGCTTTCACCTACACCTACAACATAGCCATTAGCATGGGATATGCTAACAGTTGCATCAACCCATTCCTCTACATTATCCTCAGTGAGACCTTCAAGAGGCAGTTTCTCAGGGCTGTACGCCCGGTTAATAGGAAGTTCCGTGTGAACCCGAGCACCACAGATGGTGGCAGTGTCAGCGTGAGAATGATACCTGAAGGGGCTCAGCAGGAGCATGCCTCTGAGGAGATTGTACCACCCAATGGTGCCCCACAATGACATCAAAATAACTTCACTATGTATCTCTGTGGATCTGTGTAACTGATAGTTACTCTGAATGGCTTATCAGCACATGAACACATATTGTCTCTGGACAGTAACATTTCCGCATGAACTCCAATCAACCATTTTATTTATACAATGTGTTTGCTATTTCAGGCAAGACCTGAATATAAATGTTCTTTTCTGTCATTCACAATCATGCAAAGTGCATCATCACTGATTTACCTAACTGTGTGAAAAACTAACCAGCCTTTTCTTACTGTGCTTGAACACACTTCAGTTTAGCCATTTCCACCTGCAAAAAACACTCACCTTTTTATAAATGGGACGCTCACACTATAGTCAAGTTGGTGTTTATATTTTGCTGAACCTGTCTGTTCAAAGTATACTTTAATATGTCTTGAGTTTGCACATATGCAGCAGAGAAAAAAACACTCACTTATAGTTTTCTTGAGTTGAACATATGCATGACAATCCTATAAGCTTCCTATGGAAAATGAAGGGTAAATATTTATTTAAACAAATGCGTCACTTGGCTGTGTTAAATACAAGTAAGAGGGTGAAGCAGACTGGGAGGTCTCTCAGTATAAAAGGTGTATTCAGACTGAATGCAAAGTAAATTCATCCTGCAGCCTGTCTTTTTAGCCGTGTTTTTTAACAGCAAACGGCAAGTGGACAAGGCGTGTTGACTCCCAGTCCACCTCTTCTCTGCTCTAGTCTCTGTATAGCTATAAAGGAAATTTATACAGCTTGGGTTGTCACGCATAAATGTTATAGGGGAGAAATATTCAACCTCTGCAGAGATGTTTTTGCCTCAATTCATGGCAGCTCAAACCTGTTAACTTGTCTGTAATATCAATGCGTCTTTGCCGACATGCTGTTATGTGGTAACAAGTAAATACTACATTATAAATATGCACACATCAACACACATGTCACGTTTAATATAAGAAGACTGTGCACTCTCACTACACACATTCAGTACAATATCACTGTGGACATCCTTGCAGAATACCAAGCAGATGCTTGTTCCTATGACCGCTTTACTGAATGATGGGAAGAAATGTATGAAATGAGTTATGAGCTTCAGGAGTTTGTGTATAAAGACTTTAAAAGTTGGTCCCCACGTTTTGATAATACATTCATCGTTTGTTCTGGTGTCCCTCTGTGATTTTTTGATGTAATTTCTATGTTTGAAGAACAGACTGGATAATGCAACTGGAGATAATGTCTCCTCAGATGATATCTTGTTAAATATCAGAATGCATTAGATATGTCTCTGCGCACAACAATGAAAGGGAGTCCATTAGCAGCAAAGTTTTGAGGAATCGTGATACAACATTCTTATAAACTTATTCTCCTCTTGTGAAAAAAAAGACAGTTTGTAATATGACTTTTAGACAAATGATTGTATGACTCATCACAGTAGTAACAGGGCTTCAGCTTCCAATCAGGGGTGATTTAAAGTCCACTGTGTAGGATTTAAAGGCATCTATTGGCAAAAATGGTATATGATATTCATAACTATGTTTTCCTTCATGTTCATTCATATATCTACCTTGTGTTTATTCATTCATTTCCGTAACCGCTTACCCTCTTGAAGGTCGCAGGGGGGCTGGAGCCTATCCTAGCTGACATTGGGCGAGAGGCAGGGTACACCCTGGACAGGTTGCCAGACTATCGCAGGGCTGACACATAGAGACAGACAACCATTCACACCTACAGCCAAGTTAAAGCCACCAATTAACCCATCCCCAACCTCCATGTCTGTGGACTGTGGGAGGAAGCTGGAGTGCACGGAGAAATCCCACGCTGACACAGGGAGAACATGCCTCTACCAGAACTCCGCACAAAAGGGCTCCCTCCCGGGATCAACTGCTGTGAGGCGACAGTGCTAACTACTACACCACCGCACCGCCTACCTTGTGTTTAGATAAGGATGAAATAAACAAAACAAAAACTATATTATGGCTCGAACAGTTACCTTAGAATGAGCTGTTTTTATCCACCTATGGAGCAGGTCCTTTCCCACAGAGTCTGCCACGTTGTTTCTACAGTAGCCCAGAACGGACAAACAGAACACTGGCTTAAGATAGGACCATTAGTGTTTTCTTGTTTTTATGTCGGCCACTGTAGTTCTCCTACACGTTTGGCACACGGGAGATGTCCTGCAGCCTGACTGCTAGATGCCACAAAATCCTACACACTGGACCTTTTCTCTTGTTTGAACAGTGCGATAAAACAACAAATACATACAGGATTTGGTTAAAAACCCAAAAGAACTCACCTCTACTAGGCAGTTTTGGGTTTGAACCATACTGTAAAAATAATGGATGTAGCTAACGTGATGTCACCCATTGGTTTGTGGACTCCCATTTTGGATCCTTGAGTTTGGCATTTCAGCTGTTGCCTTCTTGGTTTTTTGGAGCCAGAAATGACCATATTTGGGTAAGAGGGTGGAACTGTGGTAGAGTGAGGGTTGGATCTGACTGAGAAACCAAGGACACAATCGGCAGACTCCCTGTCACTCAAAGCAGCCAACCCTTAATTTTGTGAAACTTTAAGCCTTAATGAAATGTAAACGTGTAAGTTATAAAAAAAATTCAACCCTGTACAGTTGTCATGAAGGTTGAAATTAGCTATAAAGATCAACACTGCTTTTTGTACCAGGCTGTAAACATGTTTATTTCTGCCGTGAAGCTGTCCATTTTAACATGGGTGTCTATAAGGATTGACTGGCTTCTGGAGCCAGCCTCAAGTGGTTATTTAGAGGAACTGTAGTGTTTGGCACTTTGTGTTGGCCTTAATTTTTCAACCCCATAGGGCTGCTGCATGGTTTGAACCCACTGGCTTGCTTGGGCCCTTCTTTGTGGAGTTTGCATGCAGTTCCTGTTCTCCTTGGGTTCTCCATCTCTTTGCCGCAGACCAAAGACATGCAAGTTAGGCTAACTGTTGATTCTAAATTGCATTGGTTGTGAGAATTTGGGGTTTTGTCATTTTTCTGAAACAATTCCACAAAAAATGCTGACACTGGAAGAATCCTTGCAAATCTGATTCACCGAACTTAGCATGAATAAAAATAATGCAATTGAGAGACATTTTTACAAGCCCAAAGAAGAAAAAATCTACAAGCATTAAAGATTGTGGAAAGGGTCATTTGTCAAGCAGTGAAAGTTGCTGCATTTTCAGTATTGATTCAATGTGAAGTTCAAGGCCACGAATATCAATGAAGGGCTGTACTCTGGATATCTGAATGGATATGTCAAATCTATAACAGCCATTTAGCCAATGATGTGTTGTAATGTTGTCGTACTGATATCAAGTCATATTATAATTTGATATGTATATTTACGATGCTGTAATTATATGTTTGAGAAGGGTTATTCATGTAAATATAAAATATGTTTAACACTGGATATGAAACTCAGGGTTTCTCAACCTTTTTCTTGCCTGTGACCCAGTTCTCAGTCTTGACTTGATGCCAGCAATTAGAGTTGTGAAGTTTTTGTAGGAGTTGCCTATTTTTGTATTGCATTTTTAAGCGGGCAAAGGAAGCTCTGAATGTATTGCACACAGAAGTTATGATATAGATTCACCTTTTTTTTAAAATTAAAAACTAAATCAAACACTTCTCTTCGTCTTAAAAATCCCCTACCTGTTAATCAAACCACACCCTGTGGGGTCCCGACACCAAGGATGAGAAACTCTGGTGTAACTGTTGTTTGTTATGAAGCAAAAAGAAAAAAAAAGTTAATGTCAAAACATGAGCAGCTTTGCTTTATTTGCTTAATCGTCGACAAAACAATACATTGTGGGCCTCTCTGTCTGTACTGTTGTGAGTATTGACAACTTAATAAATCAATATTGTACAAGAAACATTAAAAAATTGTCTGAAACTGTTCATTGTTTTTACCAAGTTTGCTTTTTGTGTGCATTGCTATTTTATGTTATCAATATTTAACACGTTAAGCTTAAGTCCTCAGATGTTCATAGCTATAGTGGAAAAGTCACTTGTGAATTTGATGTAGTTAAAAAACAACAACAAATATATGTGTTTAGAGGGCATCAAATACCACCACTTTGTCACACCCCTTGGCATGTGATATCAACACCAAAGGCAACCTTTAACATGCTTGAGATGCACCAGGCTTTCTCCAATGTAAAACCGCCAGCAATGCTTGACGCAAAGCAACTGATGTAGTATAAAGAGTGAGAAAGTCTGCATTGGCCTGGAGGGAAGTGTGGTGGAAACAAAAGTGGACTTTCATCCTGGAGACTGCACTTTTTATCCCATGTGAAACCAAAAGTCAATGTCGTTTTAACGTCATGTTACACAGTCTACATACGGTTATCATGCACTGGCATCAGTCATTTTAATCAGGAGAGACAGAAGAATGAAATAAAGATAAGGTTTAATGCAGATTATACATGAACAGATCAACAGATGATTTGTGCTGGTAAGATTTTAACAAAGTCTTAGACACCAGGGAGGAGATCTCCCCAGAGGGAGATTATTTGTGGTCGTAGGACATCTAAGCGGCAGCAAGATAAATCCCCCCATGGAGTCAAGACACTGGTGGAGGTGGTGGTGGCTGATAACTTTGGTTGATGACTGCTGAGGTGAATAGAAGCCACATCTGAGAAGACTAGGTGGTGATGGGGAGGTGGAGGGTAAGCACAGCAGCAGCAGCAGCATGAAAGGGACTGTGAGCAGAAAAAGAACCATATTTAAAATGCGGAGCAGTGAGATGACGGAAAGGGTGTGTCACTGTGTTGTTGGTTGATTGTGTGTCAGCAGTAGAACAGCTGATAATCGATTGACAGCCCCAGACACTGACAGCCAGAGATGCATGAGCATGAGCTTGCATGCAAGGAGTAAATGACAGGGTGAGGAAGAAAGTTAAAGCCTAAGAATGAAAAAGTGTTGTCTTCCTGACTGAACCTTCGCTAGAGCTTCATGTGATGCATTTACGCCATGTCACGTATACATGTATAGT